ATTAGTGCCATTAGTGGTGAGCAGCAGTGTTCGTACTACTCATACGGTCATAGTCATACAGTCATAGAAAAGACGAATCCCGCTTTCGAAAGACGAATGGTCAACTCAGAAGATACGACCTTTGTCTGCGACCGTGTGAAGTCATAATGTTCCTGTACGTGTAGTACAATGTACTACTACTACTAGTATAGCATCAGTCATTATGACTTAGTATTAATGGTGGAACAGGAGGGCCTCAACAATTATTATTGTCCGTGGCCTGCCCTGTATACCCTATGCTCGCTTGCTAAGTAACGTTAACGTTAGTTGCAATGTAAAGGTACATGTATAGTACAATAATACTGCCATGTACATGTACATGTACGTGAATTGGCCTATGCCATGGTGTGCTTTTGAGATGACTTTTTATCCTGAAAAATAATGCCCAGAAGTGGGTGGATTGGTTTCGTTGGAGGGACGGCGCTGTCGGCGCATTGCTAAAAACATGCACAGTTTTCGCACAAACAAGTTTGTTCCCAGTTATCGCTACTCACAAAACCTCTTCAATGGAAACAAATCATGCAGTAGAATTCTGTCCACCTTTGACGTTTTACTACGTTAATCACTTGATCACCTTCAATTATCCAATTATAGATATTAATTATTAATTATTTGTTTACACGTGCTGTCAATAAGAGTCTGAGTGGGTGAAAATGACAAGGTTCAGACTGGCAAAGACTAAGTCCAGTTCCGGCCAGCTCTGGGGTAAGGCGTTCAGGGACACCTGCTGCTGCTTCCGGAGGCACGCAATCATCTGTATGTTTGCGAGCGGCATGTGTCCATAACGAACAGCTACTGTTTCTTCCGGTGCTGACGCGGACTAACGCCGTCTCTTGGGAAAGGTTATCACGAGCAGCTCGCTCTTACCATGCTTACTGCGTGGGCTGCCCACAAGCACATCATGAGTTGCGCATGTGGAAGAAGAAGTCAATCCCGTTATCCAGTCTCCTTAGGACCTTATTTCATGCATGGCGGTGTTGATAAGGCAAAGGGCTACTACATGTACATGTAGTACCTCAAACTAGGCGACTGTTTGTTACATGTACAAGTACTAGGAAGTATAATATCATTATAATATTATGTACATGAATGCTGCAACAGCGATACGATCCATTTGGGCTTGGACCTGGTATATTTACATGTACATGTATAACAGTATAGCCCTTCGATATTACTTGTACATGTACCGTGTCTCAGTTTGCAAAGTATAGCACACAAGTTACTCGAAGGTTTTGAACTACATGTAGGGCGGACATCCCAAGATCGCAACCATGCCATCAAGGTTTTGTATAACTACTATTGTATTTACTACATGTATCGGTGAACGATAGATCAGTGTAGAGACATGTAGATGACCTGCTCGATTTGCCTTGGACAATCTGTTAGTTATTACATTATGACCTGTAGTAATTTGCGGATCTGGATTATGACTAATACAATGTGCATGTATCAAGCAAGTTCACTATTTTTATTTCGATGAGTAATGCCCGTTCGGAGTCTACGACGACGACCTCCGCTACTGTACTTCGAAGGACAATCATTATTCTCTACACAAGGAAAGGGTGTACTGAACGCTGCAGCATGGTCAGGGTGACAAGCTAATTCTTACGTAGTGCCATCGTTCGTCCATTTTGCTATTGTTTGGCGATTCATCATTTTCATAATGCATTGTACTCGTGTCAGATACTGGTATGACACAGCGCACTGGATTTCGACGTAAACTGTTACTTTGCACGCTGTACCCAGATATACCCACGGCATTCATCAATTCAGATTGAAAGCGACGTTGTATGATAATTATAGTTTTTAACATTCTCAAATCAATACATGCACACATGTACGGGTGCAGGTGCCAATATGGTAGGGCAGATTTTCTATCATGTATCATGTATCGGTGCATGTGTATCATGCGTTCTGCCATCTCAGGGTGAGACGTGCACGATACAGTTGCGTAATTATAGCGTTTATCACTTTATGCTTTCATACGCATGTGTTTCATGCTAGGTTTCGCGCGAACGATCGAAGTAGATTAGTTACTTTCACCTAAATACTTTGGTTTCAGGTGCTGTATGTACATGTACATGTACAATGTCATGTACGTGTACATGATACTGTTTGGATTATTTTGGACCACTGTTGCCTGGCTCTGTTTACCAATACGTCATGTACTTGAATGCGTTAAGTAACGTTCTTTGTCCATTGCTGTTCTCACATTTTGCTTATTGTAATAAACGTTGTGTCAAGTAGGCATGTATTCAAAAAAGAATAGCAGACTATACTCATACATGTGGCTGCTGACCTGCAATGCATGGTGCCGAATTGGCACGTACCTACACGTACAAGTACAAGTACGTTATGCTGTAGGCATTCATCACGAAGGTTTTATTGAGATGTCAAGAACAAATTCTAGAGAAAGTGGGGATGGACAAAGAAATAACATCGTTCCTGTTATTGTTCTTCACATTACATTTCCATCATATTCATAGTTATTTCTTTGTCCATCACCATTTTCTCTAGAATTTGTTCGTGATTATCATTTTACTATTTTTAGACTGTTTTTTGTTTCGTTTGTTAGTATTTCAGTTCTTGGCAAAGTACAACTAACAGGGACAATCGAAAAGAATACTGCGATAATTCATGGCCGGAAATGAGAAAGAGGGAAGGTGTCATGTTTTGTGTCATGTTTCGTCAAGACTATAATAAACTCCGAGCGTATTTACTCTTTGTTTCGTAGGAAACAACCTTGTAAAGGTAAATGTATTACATGTACATGTACATGTACATGTACATGTATATCCCCAAATCCAACGACGTACTTCTTAACTCTATTTTGAAGCACGTCTGTTGCTACAATTAGCTGCATGGATATTCAATGTTCTTTATTCAGATTCCAGAGGTGTCTGAGCAGTATCAAGGTAGACACTTTTCCGAAGCCCTCAGACGCTGAGACAGCCAGCAGCATCTAGGATAATGGTTATCTACTGCATGACGCGGAGACACTGACGTGCGCGTTGGGACGGAGGATGTACATGACATGTACATTGTACATGTTTGAACATGATGATACATTAGTCATTGTACTGAAGTGGAGCTACTCTCAAAACGTAGTCCAAGAAGCTTCAACTGGATGCTGACAGGGCACTGAGGGATAATGATGCTGAGGAACACGACAGAAGGCAATCACGAATTGCTGGCTTTCTGCTGTTTGTGGTTCAAAGTTGATTTAGGGCACATTCCCAGTTCCTTCAAGCCTCCAGCTGGTTTACGGCTGACTGAAGTCACAGTGCAGACGAAGCTGCAGCTGCAGTTGGGCCAGGCGACACAGCTGAACGGTGTCATCCGCATATACGGCAATGGAGACGCAAAGGAAGGAACCATGTGGGATCTAGAGTGCTTTCTTGACGTTGAGGCATATCTTACCTGGTGACAAAGGTCATGGAGGCGTAGCCACAATACCAGCTTGCAGCTTACCATCCGGTAGGTGGGATGATAACTGGGCCAGCTTTCCGGTCCGAAATTTGCAGAAGAGCCCGTGCGGCGACGCAGGGTGGAATGCACCTGCTACATGTACATGTACATGTATGTGGATGGCGATGACCTGATTGGTTCCTTCCTTGCGTCCAACTCACGGTGTAGCGACGCGAGAAAGGTCAGCTGTGCAAATGGATTTCCGGACACCAAGCCGCATGATTGTCAGAGAGGATGCTGTTCGTATCAAGGTGATTTACAGGTTGTTAGTTCAGTAACGTTAAGCTTTCCTTCACTCCTGCTCGATCTTTTCCATCGGTTTAGATATCACTGCCACATTGGAAATGTTAGCCCGTCTGTAGATCGTATACATGTACATGTTAATATGAGATTGTATAACACAACACAACCTTGTATGTACACCCAGCCACATCTGTTGTATTGTATTTTGTATTTATTACATTAGAAAAGGATTACCCAGAGGCTCTAGGCCTGTCGAGGGAACCTCCTACTCACAGAAATATCAAGTATTGGTGGAAGAGTACAAGAGTACTTCAGTACCAAAAAGAAAAAGAAAAAAAACAGAGAAAAGAAGCAGACTCAGCAATTGAGCAACTTCATTAATTATAAAGGTGTTGAAATGCCATCAGCGTCGTGAGTGTATGGGCGAAAATTCTGGAAGAGGAAATGTTTGAATTCGGTAGGAGAGGTCATGGAAGTCAGAGATGGCGGTAAACGATTCCATAATAGGCTGGCGTTGTGGAAACACAGGGAGGAAAACGTACACCGTGACAATAAATGTTCCGTTTGTTCGGTCTTCAGGGACTCGAAGACAGAGACAGATGTAGGTGTACATGTACACGCATGAATTAAAACAATGTGACTATGTTCCAACTAAATGCACTGCAGCAATCAGTAAAGAACCTACATTACGAAAGGTACGAAGACTGTAAACTAAAACAACTAACTAAGAACATGAGAACAACGGAAGATATAGAAAACGAGCACGGCAGGACAGTGCGTAGATTACTAAACTATTCATGCTCGGATATGGTACGATGCACATAGAGAGTGTGCTCAGGTTACACACTCAGACATGAATGGTGATAACATGTGAATGCATAAGGCCGGGGCATAGAAAGGTCAAACACTGACCTGGATTGGACATCCGTAACAGTGGTCAGTTACGGCTAGGCTATAGCATACAATGCATGGAACAGCCATGAATGAGTCTCAGTCGACCTACCAAGCATGACCAGCACTAATGCACTGGACTACAACTATCAAAACAAAAGAAAGACCGGAATATTCTAGAACAAATCTAACATACCTCCCTCACGAACGAAGAGTGAAAATAGCATCTGAGTGAGTCTAAGAAAAGAAAGTGCAAATAACGTAGCAATGAAGTGAACTAACAGACTGCAAGTAGTGTTCACTCAGTACCTTCGACTTCAAGGGGCACAAGCCGATGGACAGCTCGCTTGTAGAATCTCTCAGCCACCTTGACCTTCACTACTCGAACAATACCATCCTTGCCGGGATAGACCTCTGTCACACGCCCAAGCGGCCAGCGTGACCTTGCTGTGTGCTCGTTTCAATTGACCTGGAAGCTCTGCTGGCGGCACAATGTGCTTACTGGGCCATGTGGAGGTGGGCTTGGACAAGAAGGCTGGACCTGTCCACCATGTTGCATCATCGGCCAGGTAGTTCTGAAGCACTTCTGAGTAGCGCAGCTGTACAGTAGGATTTTTCTGGAACAGACGGTGTAGCGAGCAGAGCCGCTTCCTGGCGTACTGTTCCGATCTCTGCTGAATCTTTGGCTTGCTACCGTCGCCTCGCCATGGGATGCCGACAACGAACCGTGTGCCGTTGTGGTGGAGACTTTGCACGGTCATTGCGTCAGCCTCACGCTCATCCGGAGTCAGGTAGGATGATGTGCTCTTGGCCTGCATGCCAACGCTCTCGAGGTCCCAGAACTTGTTGACGGTGTTTATCAGTGTACTGTCACTTACAGCCAGTAGTGATTGTTCCGTCATCTCTGATGCGCTGTCAGTCGGACCTTCGCCGAACAGTACCCAGCCCAACGGTGTCTTCCTGGCAATTGGACCTCCCTCACTGCAGAATCGTTCGGCAAGTGAAATGTGCAGCTGCGGCGCATTGAGACCAATCAACAGATCCACTCTAGACTCGTTGCTTGCAGGTACGACGTCACTGAGATGCGGCCAGCGTTTCAGTTCCTCTGTCCAGTCGAAGGCTGGGACGGGACGCATGATGCGCGGAAGCATCCACACTCTGACGGTCGTTGACGATTGGCCATCAGCGTGACATAGTTCAGCTGATGTATAATGCTCCAGACGGAGCTTCTCTCCCCCCAGAACAGCGGTATCCAGCGGGACGTTAGCTTTCGTTGTCTGTAGCCCGAGCTGGCTGACGAGTTCTGTGGTTATAAAGCTGCAAGAAGATCCTGAATCCAGGAAGACGTTAGCTTTCCTTGACCCTGTCGGACCCTTTGCGGTGGTGGCAACAGTCATGAACGCGACAGACTTGGGCTCGATGGTAGTGCCACATGCAGTCTGGGTGTGTGCTGTCTTGTCAGCTGCTGATGCCTCCGTGCTTGTATCCTGGCAAGAAGCTGAGCGGTCCTTGCTGTGTTGACTATTGGCTCCGGTTGTCCGTTGGTTCAACTTCGTGTAGTGTAGCAGGCGATGATGTGGCCTACTACAGATGCTGCACTTGGACTGCTTGCATGACTTCGCCTTGTGGCCTGGGCCTAAGCAGCAGATGCAGACGGGCTTTGGTTTGATGAAGTCCCATCTCTGAGGGATTGTCAACTGCTTGAATTCTCGGCAATCGCTGAGTGCATGGTCTTTGTTGCAGTATATGCAACCGTTGCGGCTGTCTGGGCTCTGGCCACTAATAGTTGCTACAAACGTACGGTCGGGCCGCTTGCCAAACTTGGCTCCACCACTACTTGGTCGCTGTTCAGCCAGCTCGGCGCCACTCATTCGTTCTTCGACCTGGCGCAGACGCTGGACTCTCTTGAGCAGGTACTCTGAGAAGGCACCAATGTCGCTAGGGATCTCAGCGCGTGCACTGCGCATGCAGTTCGCGCATGCAGCCAAACGCGCATCAGAAGTGGCATGCAGAATTTTTGCCAAACACTGGCTATTTTTTTGCAGAAAATTGAGACCTTGAACGAAGGAGAAATGGCTGAAATTTCCTTGCAAGGAGATGGTGGTTACAGGCTACCTGCTTACCAGAATGGGATCTTGTTTGGTATGTTGGCCGCCCATGTGTTCTGGAATCGATTTGTAGCTTTCGTTGGAAGGCGCGAAGCCGTTTTCGTTCCAAACGACAGGGTTCTTTCAGAGCGGAAAATGGCGACCATGCCGATCTTTGCCACGATCTCCGAGTTGAAAATCTCTGGATTTAACCGGGGAAAAGCTCTGGATTCAATGGTAAACCCGGCAGAAATACTTGATGTTGGATGTTGAGAGTTTGCAGGAAATTTGACCGAAGCGTTCATGTTCCACGTGACGGTGTTCGTTCTTGTGAATTTCTGCATTTCTCACATATCGCCGTGCATATGGGCCGTTGTTCCAGAGACATCGATTGTCAGGTGTGGACAGGGTTTTGTTCGAGTAGTCGTGTGGAGACGTGGTTTGGTTCTCACAGGCAACAGGAGCGGCTCCTCGGGATGGCGAAAGCCAAATCTACCCAAATGGCCAAAGCCGACTTCACGATCGCCGATCTTCTGGCGGCGCATTTTCACTTATGCTCTGCAACAAGCGGCACAAGCTGTGGAAATCGTCAGATGATATTAGCCTATCAGTGTGCCCAGAACTTCTAGTGACTCTACTGAAGCATTAGCTTGAGTAATCTTTCTTTCTAGCCCTCTCTTTCTCTCTCTCTCCCTCTCTTTCTCTCTAAAAATGTTCCAAACTTCAAAATCTAGGTCGAGCTGCTCGGGGAGTCGTCAAATACCGACTCACTGAGCCGGTTTTTGGCGATCGCCATTTTCTTTCAGTCTGCCATCGCCGCGTTGAAAAATCGATTACATCATTGAATGCGCAAAGCCCTGCGCAGTGTCCGCGCTGACATCCCTAATGTCGCACTGCGAATCGTCGTGCTTTTCCATAAAGCGTGTCAACACTGACTTGGGTACCTTCTGCGTGACACTTAGGTACAACTCTCGCCCTGGCGTGATGCCGCTGGCGCTGAGATTGATGAGTGCATTCCTCAGCTTTACGGCAAAACTCTTCAACCCGTCGAGGTCTCGCTCATTGACGAGTCGCGGCGCTGACATCAATTCTTTTTCATACCGGTCGATGTCCCGTGTTGGCCCGCCATACCATGCATCTAGCTCATGCAGTGCGGCATTGTAGGCACCAGGACCATCCACAATTTCGGCAATCAACTCATAGGCGTCACCACCTGTCAGCGCTTCTCGCAGACGTGCGAACTTGTGCCCCTCTGACAAGAATGCATCGTTGTCGATGAGTTGCTTAAAGCGCTGCTTCCACCGGCTGTAATCGTTTGTCTTGCCACTGAATCTCGGCAGCTCTAGTGGTCTCAAATGCTGTCTGGACAGCATGCTGTTGTAAATCTGCAGCTGCTCTGGACCAGACAATACTGCTGCAGTGGGTGCTGGCACTGTGGTAGCTGCTGACTTCTGTGCCCTGTGACTGTGTCCCTGCACAGAACTGATGGGTGCAAAACTGGACTGCACAGTCACTGGTTTCCAATTACTGGGTGTGACACCACATGTAACACTAGTACTAGTAGTAGTGGCCACACTGTATGATCTGCCAACACCAGGCCCTAGGCATAAATTCACTGATGCTGTCACTGGCTGGGTCATGGCAGGTAAGCCATATCTTACTCCTGCCAGTCCTGGTCTGATTGAGCTCACTGGATCCTAGTTCAATGCACTTGGCCCTGGGCCAGGGTTGAGGCTGCTGTGCACGTGGCTCACCTGAGTGGCTGGATGAATGGTAATCTGCCTCTGGCTCTGGTGACTGGAAGGCTGGGGCCGACTTGGCTGAGCTTGCACAGGCGGCTTAGCTACAGCCAGTACACGACCTGTACTGTTCACACCTTGGTGATGATCCCAGGACACAGAAGCGATAGAGCTGTGGTCGTCAGGAACACTTCCTGTGCCCTGCGCACCTACTGCAGCTCCAGAGCTATCCACACGGTCTACAGGCACAGGCACTGAACCTAGTAAATCGGCCGCCGCAGTTTGTGGGTCCACACTGTTACTCAACTGAACTTTGCTGAGGTCAGGCAAACTCTGAGCGCCATTCTCCGGGCCTTGCTGATCTAGATCGCCTTCTTCCTCCGGACGAGGATCTGCGTCAAAGCCAGCACAACTAAGCGTGACAGCTCCTTGTCTGGGTTTACCAGCTCCGGTATCCAGATTGCTGAGCTCCAGCCTACGTAGAAACTGGGCATGACGCTCCAGCAAACTCGTCGTCAATCTTGGACTCTGAGTTTCCTTGCCTGCACTGGCGATTGGCATCATTGCCTCGGAGCTTGCAACAGAGTGCCGACTCCCAACGGAGGAGAGTTCAAGTGCAACAGCTGCCTTATCTGCTGCTAGGCGCTTCTGAATCACGCCTCTCTGCAACTCCAAGCGTTTCTTCGCGAGTTGCTCCGCTGTCTCCATCTCAAGTTGAGCCAGCTCCTCAGCCGCTTCGAACTCTTTCTCCGCGACTAAGACCTCTAGTTCAGCCGCTTTGCTGGACGTTCTCGAGGCCTTTGAGACACTGTCCCACTCACCAAGCCTAGAAGGCGGCCTACCCTTCGTAGTTCTCGAGCTAATTCTTTTCTCCGACATCGTCGGATCCGGCTCGAAGGACCAGAAAATGTTCCAACTAAATGCACTGCAGCAATCAGTAAAGAACCTACATTACGAAAGGTACGAAGACTGTAAACTAAAACAACTAACTAAGAACATGAGAACAACGGAAGATATAGAAAACGAGCACGGCAGGACAGTGCGTAGATTACTAAACTATTCATGCTCGGATATGGTACGATGCACATAGAGAGTGTGCTCAGGTTACACACTCAGACATGAATGGTGATAACATGTGAATGCATAAGGCCGGGGCATAGAAAGGTCAAACACTGACCTGGATTGGACATCCGTAACAGTGGTCAGTTACGGCTAGGCTATAGCATACAATGCATGGAACAGCCATGAATGAGTCTCAGTCGACCTACCAAGCATGACCAGCACTAATGCACTGGACTACAACTATCAAAACAAAAGAAAGACCGGAATATTCTAGAACAAATCTAACAGACTAACTGTTAGAGAAGAGATTTGTCTGCGAAAATGTAAGGACTCGAGGTCACAGAGTGCATTTAATTGCGATTTTGTTTCATATCTACATGTATCTACTGTAACTGTCTTACTCGTCAAAAACCTCCTAGCTACTCTAACTTACAAAATTTCTAAACGCTCCAGCTCAGCTTTGGTAAGGGACCTATAGGTCCAGGCTGAGGTGGCATGTTCAAGAGCCGGGCGGACATAACCTTTGTCGAGAAGAAGTAAGGCCTTCGGGGCAAGATGACGTCCCATGAAGCCCAAGCTAACGCGGCCTTGATAGGTCTTCAGCACAGTTGTGTAATGGATTGTGCTGGACTGGTCTGGGGTCAGATTTGGGTTGTTTTGGCTGCTGAAAACCTTCCCCCTCCCCCCCCCCCCCCCCCCCCCGTTGCTCGCCCATTGTTGGCAACTTGCGAGGTCTTCCTCTAAACACGTATGATTCCATTCCATAGACTACTTGGTGTCATGGACATACAAAAGGGTGACGTCGTCCGCAAACAAGTAAGGAGTGCAACGGGGCACTGATGTTGGCAAGGAGTTGACAAATAGTGAAAAGAGCGTTGAACAGGATGGGAACCCTGTGGAACTCCTCACGTGAGAGTTTTGGGTTCAGAGTAATGATCATCCAACCTAACAGACAATTGCCTCTCGGACAGAAAGCTTCGCAACCAATCGACTGTTTGTTTGGTGGCAATGAGTTCGAATGCACTGTGCAATGCCTCATGACCCACCCGATCAAATGCTTTGCGAAAGTCTAGGAAAACACAGTCAAACGTCGGCTTCCTGTCATTGCACTCGGCCATTTGATGTGTGAGCAAAAGCAATTGCTCCTCCGTAGACCGGTTTCAGACAAAACCGAATTGTGCACTGCTAATGTAGTCGGTGGCATGGATGAAATCACACAGATTATTGGCCAGGAGTTGCTCGAATACTCTGGGTACGATTTTGAGAAGAGATATTGGTCTGTAATTTCCAGGGTCAGAACGTCCCCCTTTGTCCATTGTACAATGGTGTACTGTTACTGTTGCAAATTTCCAATCTCGTGGATAGCAGGTGTCTTCTAGGCTCTTGTTGATGAGGTACAATAATTATAGCTCTCCAGCATGTTGCCTGAGGATGGGAACAAGTTCGGGATCTGATGTTGCTTTCCATGTGCCTAGGTGTTTTACGTCATTAAACACCTGCCTCTCGCTCAGCGGACTGAAACTGATGTTCTCAGCTTCTGGCACACGTTCAATTTTGAGGGTTAACTTATACTTCAAGGTGCATACGTTTGTTGAGGTGCACTGCGCATCAACATGGGTGCTGAGCACTGCTACTTTCTCTGCCGAGGTTTCTGTTGTTGAGTCGCTCCTAACTACGTTACATGTACGTACAGTCATGTACAATGTAGATCTGGTATTTGGGTTGGGACACGGTTGATCTGGCAAAGGGCTTTCGCTTTTTTCCACCCGTGATATGTGCCCGACAGGAGTGGGCTTCAAGCTCATCAGACAGTTGTGAACAAATCAGCGTTGTCATGACTCCAGGTCTTTCACCTTCTAAATTACGTACAATGTACTTCAAAGCACGTACATTGCTGTGGAGAGGAAGAGGCAAAAAACTGTTGCAATCATGAGACAACTGAGAATTCTGCCAATGCCGGCGACATCGACATCGTTACCTCAACTAAGTTTCCTCCAAAAATGATAATGTCAGTGTACATGTACATGTATTAACACCGCTGAGATGTCGCTTGAACAGTTGGATCTTGTTTCCCTCACA